CCGCAAAGAAAACCGCTCAGAATTTTGTTTGTCTTCATCAACAAAGTGTTTAACTATTACGACTGTTCAAGCCAGTAACACAGCGGGGTTTGTTTTGTGATTAGGTGGCTGCACTGAGAGAGCTAAACAAGGAAGAATTGATCGATTTTTTCGACGAATTCATAAAGGTTGACGCACTGAAAAAGAGATCATTGAGCATATGTGTTTATGGAAGCAACCATTTGAAGGAAATGGCATCTGACAAAGAGAAAGTTGTATCACCATTCATAGAAATCGACGACATTGTCGGTTTCAGAAAATCTCAGCCTCTTTACGGGTCGTTGAAAGGATGTTGCGAGGAGATCCCAACTCTTTGAAAGAGAATACACACAAAGACTCATATATACCAAAACGATATTTGTATATGTGAATCTGTATTCATCTGATTGTAAGAAAACAGAGTATTATCATCAAAAAACACACAAATATATGATAAGTTATATGTTGATTGCAGGTTCTGCTGAGCAAAGTAAAACAATCATGGATTCAAGTGGTCTTCTATCATTGAGTGTGTAACATATCTCATTTGTATGAACAAAATTATCTTGTTGGATTTGTTAAACCATTGGACAGCTAATAAGATCTTCCTATCAACTCTATTGCCCAACATCGGCAAATCATTGTAAGGTCCAGATTTGATCCAATTTTGATACGTCCCTTAAAGATCCGACAAGACAAACAAGTTGCAAATAATTTAACTCAGACCAAGTTATGCAGCAACCTAACACCGAACAGAGTCAAACAAATCAACTAGAACAGAAACTAATTTATTAAAAAAAAAAATTCTCATCAGTACAATTTGCCCCAGAAATTATCGGAATCCAGAAATGGTAAAGCTGCATCACAAAATCTTCTCAAGAACAAAAATTTTTAGCCAAAAATAAATAAGAAAACGCCACAAACAAAAGTAAAAACATCTCTTCTCTTGAACACCAAAAATAAATTTATTTCCTTTTTTGTTTGTATTTTTGACGAATAAAAAGGATGAATCGGTGATC